ATTTCTCTCACGGCAACTGATATAGCCAACCGAAGATAGGACGCGCATCCGCCCGCGTATCGGGTTCAAGATAGAAGGGTCTGGCGGAGTTTAAAGAAGATAGTTGCGGATGGTTTAACGATAATCTGCAGCGCGGAGTGCAGGCGCGGTAATCGTTTCCACGAAGAAATCGACTACTAATTTAAGTCTGGACTCTCACGTCCGTCAAGGCGTGACGTAATCAGGCTGAGACAATGTCCGGAGCCGAGGACAGGGTGGGACTCGCAGGAGAAGCGATCAGGGTTGCCGTGCCGTGTTACTTGCTAGAGCCCGGGGGCGAGCCCCGGGTCTGTCAGCCAAAATAAACAGAATGTCACGGATATAAATAAAGCTTTCATTCTCTTCACTGCTGCTTCTTCTTCTTTTCGTCGGGCTGACGCGCTCGACGCCGTGACAGAGGTCCCTTGATCCATCGGCGTGCATCCCGTCAGAAACGTTGCTAAAACCGTCCTCCCGTCGCTACGTCATTGACGGGAGTAATTATAGGACGAGAGAGAGAGAGAGAGAGAGAGAGAGAGAGAGAGAGAGAGAAAGAGAGAGAGAGAGAGAAAGAAACAGAGAGATAGATACATAGATATACAGATGGATAGATAGATAGATAGATAGATGGATAGAGAGAGAGAGAGAGGGGGGGGAGGGAGAGAGGCGAGATCCGCTCTTCATTCAGTAGTTCCTCTCGATCGCGAGATCAATCGAGAAACGTCGCGGCGCAAAGCGATCGAATCGACGAATGAAGAAGAGTCCGATCTCGCGTCTCGATTATCCCGCTTGGAAGTCGCTGTCTCGTGGAACAATGTTCCGCTCGAGTGGCCGTGTCGATTGAGCAGAAGAAAGTTCCTCCGCCGAGAAAGAATAACCGTTTTCGTTCGACGAAACTTAGCAGCCTGTTTCTTCTGCTTTATCAATTCGTCCGAAAATCTCGCGCGATTAGCTCTCGACGGTCGTGCGATCTTTCTCGTCGACACAGGTCGAATGAGTGAATCGTATCGATAAATGATTATGAGTAGCTTGAAGAGCGAATCCGGATCTGGATCTTGCCGCTTGTAGATCAATCATGAATCCTGGATCCGATCGAAGAATACCGATTTCGGGAATACTCCTCGGCCCTTGATCATGATCAGGATCAGGGGATCGATGAACGTTGATCCTCGTCGCGCGTGATGCACGCTGATACAATTTCATTATACGAGATCTGATTATACCTGCACGCGCGCGCGAAATGTTACGTCTACAGGGTATCTCCAGGGGTAAGTAAGTTTCACGTTTGACTAATCTCGCGCTCCTCGCACGTGAGCTCGTAGTTGCTTTATCCGAATTCGGCTTATGTCAGTTGCGGCGCGGTGTTCACGAGATTCGCCTAACGACAAAAGCAACTATAATACTCTACCGGATACCGGATAACGCGGGTGCGCAAGACAGCGGACGCGGCGGGGAGGCGGGCGAGCGATTGCGGGCGCGAGCGCACGCTCCCTTCTTGTTTACTATTTTCCCGTTTTACCGGGATTTGCATGTAGCCACAACGGCACTATTCATGGCGGTCGCGCGGCGCGCACGTCCGCATCCTATATGGAAAAATCCTTTTCCGGATTGCACGTGCGCGCGGTTACGAATAGCCTGATCTCGATTTCGGTTACACCACGTCGTGTCTATTCATTTTTATCTACAACCCCGGACGCTATGCACTTCTACCCCAGTTCCGTCCGCCTTGCCTCGCCCGCGCCGCGAATAAGACGGGATTTCTGACGTAGTTTACCGGCGAGAACGAGCTTCGCCGGCGGAAACAGGGGCGGTCGTACAATTATAATTGCTCGCGCTTCTCGCCACGTCCGGCCACGGCGAGCGATTGAACCAATACGCTAACTTCAAATTACGCAGATACTCTGGATTAAATGTGGAAAAAATGGAAAAAATTAATAAAAAAAGAGAAAAACGGAAGGCACAGATGCTTGCGACGTTTTAATACGCTGGCTATTAATGCACCGTACGCTCGCGGTGAATTTTTCATTCTGTCCTTACGCCGCGTTACACTTTTAAGCGCTGCCCACGCAGCATTATGCGGCTGTAAATGTTTCAGCGTCATATTTATTTAATACGCAGCTTTAATCCTTATATTCATCGCAGCCGCAAGTGCTGTGCAAGTGTGTGCAACTTATATTGTTCCGTTATGTCCCGTGTATACAGCTTGGGGATTCCGAATAAAAGTTTAATAATAATCGGTCGGAACGCAGGCAACGTGGTCGGTTATGCAGGTGCCGAAATTCTCGCGTCAAATCGCCGTCAGTCCGACTTGAGATCTCTCATTTACAATGTTTCCGCCAGATCTTTGCCGGAAGAAATCTTCCCCGGCGCGGAGCCGCCGAGGAGCGCGCGTCAAACGCCGTTTGCGAATTCTTCCGCTCAGCGATGCAATTGGATTTCTTCGCCGCGCGCGTTGGCTTCCGCTTCGCGAAGTGGAGTTGCCTCTCTTCCCGTTAACTCGATTGAAAAATTAAGGCGGGTTCAACCGCGAGGCAGTCGCGATTGAATGGTTAACCAACGAAGTAACTTCTGTTTAATACCTAACTGCCGCGCTAAACGGGATCGAGCGTTGGTCCATGTAACGCGGTTACTTGATCCAGGGATCTTGTTCGCGCAACTGTGCGAGTCCATGCCTCTCCCCTTCCCCCCTCCCCCCGGGCCTTCTTCCGTAACAAACAAAGTGTCAGAATCAGGTTTCGGTTAGCGCGCTTAACGCGAGGTGTAAAGCCGCTTGAATCTTGGCGTGATTACAATTTGGCACGTCATTTGCACGTAGTGCGGCGGCACCCGAAAACGGCTGTGCGTTGTGCCGCGCGCGCTTCGACGTCGGTAAAAACCGAGCCGCACGGCGCGTGAGCATCCTCCAGGGGATTCTTACGCGCGGTACGAAATAAAAAAGGGAACAAATCGAGATGGGACGGGTAGAAAGAGGCATAAAAAGGGGGAAAAGGGTGGAAAGAGCGGAGAAAGCGAGTGAGCGGCGAGCGAGATAGGCAGAGAGAGAAAGGGAGAGAGAGATGGGGGGGGAGGAAGAGGGTGAGGAAAGAGGAGTCGCGCGGTCCAGCCGAGCGCGAGCACGTGACGGGTGTCGTTAATATTTCATTAGCATTCGTTTTGCGTCGTCCCACCGACGTGCTCGGTTTTATATACGCTCTACGTTACACCCTCGTGCAGCCGGTAGTTGGATTTTTATTGCTAACGCGGCGCAGTTATCCGTAAAAAAATCGCGCGTTTTGCCGCGTCCGTTGACTCTCTCTCCCCCGCCCCGGCCAGCCGCGGCTGGTTTTCGCGGTGCCATTCGATACGCTTTTCGACGCAGCCGAATTTTTACACACGGACTCTTGTCCGATTGCCTCTGCATTGTTTTGACGGATATTAGAGAATGCGGCGTAAAATCTTCTTCCGCTCATCGAGTGGCGTTGCGCGTGCGCACGCATGTGCAGGAACGGTGACCTTTCGTGATCTACCGAAAATCGCATTTTCATACTTTTAACACGTTCATTACCGTTGGCGCGATATCGCGTGTTGCGGCCCCTCACCAAACGGCCGTTCACGCGATTGTTTTTTATTATGAGTGACAAACCAGGACCCTCGAAAAGACTCAGTTCAATGCCAGTTCAATCGTGCAAAAAAAAACGACTAAAAATAAATAAAAAAGGAAATAACTTTGGCCACCACACGAAATTCAAATTTTCAGTTTGGCAATGAACGTGTTAACGAACCGAGGAGGCTGCGGTAACCAAAGAACTACAATATCGTAATACGTAATTTCGCCAACGGTATCTCGGAAAGCAAATGTTCATCTTACAAATTGTAGAAGAAGAGCCGTTGAAAGAGCCAATTCAAAGTTTGATATTGCTAGGAGTTCGAGTGGGATAATCGAGAGGAACGAGTCACCTAAATAATTATAGCATAATGTCTGAAGCTTCCGCGCGCGCGCGCGCGCGCGGTGTCTGCTAAATTCGCCCGGGCGCGCTTGCGAAGGGAGGATTCGATGGGAGTCGCGAGTGCTTAGGCGAAGGCAGCGTGAAAGATAAAGCGGGGTGCGGAGGCGCGTTGCGTAAGGATTCGTACGCAGGTTGCTCCTTCGTCGTCCTGGTAACTGGGATGTCGGTCTCGCGCGTCGCGCCGGCGAAATTTGCGTATCCTCGCGACTCTCGTGACCGACCTTTATCGTCCTACCTCGTACCTACCGCTCTCGGTGCTTCGCAGCTCGATTATGTCTTCTTTGACTACGCAATCTCGACAAGCCCCTCAATTCAGCCAATTAATTAGCACTTAATGAACGTGCTTTGAGCTGCATTCCCCGCCGAGGTTGCGACGCTCGGAGAGAGTTAACCTTACCATCGCGAACGGTATTGTTGTCTCGTCTCTTTCGGTTGTTACACCGTCATGCCATTTTGCTCGGAATTCTGTTCTTAATCGAGCCAGAACTTCAAGACGATCGAGCGACCGTTAAGAGTGCCGCTATCGCAGCTCCGAGATCTTATTATACGTTGCGAAAGGAGGGAATTCACACAGTAGCTCTCATTCTAACATTCCGCAGCCGGTGAACAAGATCGGTGCTTAATCGTTTCCTTCTTTTCTATCAATCAAACTTGGGTCGCGTGCTCCGCTCTGTCGAGACTCGGCAAGTCGTGTCTCTTACCGCGCGATGGAAATAATTAGCGTGTAACTTGTCTTTATTCGAGCAAGATCGCGATTATGTAGGTTATTAATTTTGTCACGTTCGTTCGTTCGTTCGATTATCACGATGTGTCGTTTTGACGACAAAGCTGTACCTCGTGTTTCACTGAAAAGTATTCGAAGCGAATTCGATACCGCCGATTGTCGCGGATCGAACGTTCTCCCGCCTCTTTCTCTGCGACATTGGAGCCTCGATTTATCCGTCGCAAATCAAGCGCGACGCGTGTCCCGCAAAAGTAATTAAAATCTTCACTTACCGTTCCGGTTCTCGCTGTCGGCAGGCTTCATTTGGATCGGATGGCGCATCTGGAAAAAAAAAGAGTCAACGATACACTCCGCCTTTTTCGCATGGCGACCTTCGCTATACCGCGCGCTCGCTCATGACCTTACCGCCTCAATAGCTTCAAAGGCGTGCGTTCGTTCGTTCGTTCGTTCGTTCGTTCGAGCATAATAAAGGCGACATTTATTATTGATAAGACCGCCGATATCGTCGACGTTAGACGGCGAGCTTGGGCGTGAAGTTCGTTTTGCGCTCTTTGAAAAATGCAACGACGAGAAGCCGTTTGCCGCGACGACGCGCGGCGCGGCTCGTTCCCGACCGTCGGTTCGCACTTAGTACACGTCGAGCGGCCGTTTTATTCTAAGGATTCCTTCCTATTTCGCGCGCGATCGCGAGACCGAAAATCGAGCGCGACGTAACGCGCCACGGAATTCTCGTTGTTCGTAGCGAATCGCCGGCAGCGCGACTACACCGCAACGTCACCGCGCATCTATCGATGCAACGCGATATTTCCGTACTTGTTCCGCATACCATCCCCCTTCCCCGCGAATCGCATGATTTTTAACGCAGGATATTCCAGGAGGGTTATCAACGTTTACTTTGCCTAGCGCGTCTCACGCGTGTCATCTTACCCACCGACGCGATATCGGCAAAGTGTTCTCCCGATGACACTTGGCGCCTGTTCTCGCGCGTTCTCAACAACGGTCGTTAACCCTTTGAGGGCACGTATTTTTCAGAAAAACCTATTCCCCATGAATCACATGAAAATTTATACACGGGGGTTTCTGGGATCGCTGATGACGAATCCGTTATCAGATTTTCGAAATTCAAGATGGCGGATGGAAAAATAAAAAATCGCGATAATTTCGGTGACAATGGATATCGTGAGGTTTTTGAAGTCGCTGATTATAAATCCGTTATTAGATTCTTAACATTCAAAATGGCGGCCACAAATATGAAAAATCGCGATAATTTCGGTGACATCGGTGATTCGTAATCAGCGACATTGAAAGCTAACCAAAATATAATTTCAGCTAATCGTATAAAAATTTTCTGATCCGCCATCTTGGAAAATTAATTTTGGAATTTGGACCTCAGATTCGTAATCAGCGACCCAAAAAAACCCCCAAATCTTGATTTTCAGCAAAGAATTAATAGTTAATAGTTAATAGCAAAAAATTCATAGTTCGTGGAAAATAATTTTTTTCTGTAAAAATATGTATTTTTCACACTCTGTTTATTTATAATAAATGGACAACTTATGCAAAACACTTTTCAACCTTTCATATATGTTATAATCATATCATATAAGAAGCTAAATAACACAAAAAACCCGACGAGAATCCTCCAAATATGAAATATTGTATTTCATGAAAATGTGAGAATAAATAGGTGGTAAAGTATACTTACCACTATATGTCTCAAAGGGTTAAAGTATGAATCTCGGGATGCCGGCCGTGTATCGTTGGCCGCGAAAATGTACTTGTTCATTATTATTAACGAAATTGCGGTAGCGAGCATATCGTAAAAAAACCATTGGAACGCGCTCGACGTTTCTCTGATTAAACATATTTATGAGTGGGGCGCGCGACGGGGAGCGCGCCAGCGGGAAAGGAAGAGTTTTCAACGTACAATGAACCGTTCGTGCGAAAATATGGAAATCATTTCGGCGTATCGATGCAGTGGAACGAGTGCGCAACGAGATTTTCTATGCGATGAATCGCCACCGGTCGCACCGCGCATTCGTTTCCAAGCAAACACACGCGGCGATCTTTGCGAATAGATAAGAACACAGCCGGGGATTGGGGGGGGGAGGGGGTCACACTCGCGTGTCCTGTGCGTGCAGCGTGGAGTACATCCGCGGCGGTTGTACATTCGATTATCTATTGTCCGCGGCAATAAAATCGATTTACGCTGAATTTAATTGCGCGGATTTTACCGCGGGATAAAATTCACTGCAATTGATGTTTTAGCAATTATGCGATTGAAACAGAGCACGTGCGCGCGCGGGTATTAGTTGCGCGAGCGATTTTCGAGTAAATGAATGTTATCGCGGTCGAACACGTGCGCGGCGCACTCGTATTTTTTACGATGCGCGTTCAAAATACCCACTCAGATTATCTCAATAGCGCTTGAGCGGGAGCTTTCGGGCAAAAAGTGCTCTCTCAATTAATACTTTTTTTTTTATTTTTAATTGCGTTACGATGTAACGCACGGCGCGGTGCAATAACCGATAAACCTCAACGGCCTCGTTCACAGCTGCCTCGTATTTCTGTTATATTTATTGCATTCGCCGACTAATTACCACAATACGGCGCGCGTGCACACGCACAGACAACCCTAGCGCGGTTCGAATTGATCGATATTAGTGCGATTCGCCGTGTAGGTGTCGTTTAATAATTTCAACCGGTCTTTCCTCCCCCGCAAAGACTCGTAAAAAATTAGTGAGGCGATTACTGCGTTGACGGGTAAAAATGCGCGACGGCTGTGTCGTAAAGTTAGCGCCCTTATGACCGAGATAATACATTATCGTGCCATAACGAATCTGCGTGCGTGCCGCGGTAGGGAGCGGGGGAGGGCTAGAAAGGGAGCAACATTTATGGACGCGCTGTGTGTGACAGATCTTCCGGAAGAAAATGGCAGATGGTCTGACATTTCCGTTGATATTACGGCGATACTTATCGCGTGTCCGAGGAATAAGCCATCGCTTTTTACGACGCTCGAATCGCGTCGCGTATCGATCGAGCTGGCCGCGATTTAGATCGGCGAGCGGGAATGCCGAGTTAGGAATCACGATCTGGGTCACTCTACCGAGCTCCTTGTATTTAATTTAATTGCTGCGCTTGTTAAATTCCGAGTTTCATCACTCGGTGTCGGCGACACGACGAGATAGCTCGGTCGAGACCTTGGAGAGAGATGGAGAGTACAAGGAGACAGAAAGTAAGAGAGAAGTCTTGGAGGAGTCGCCGTTGTGCGGTGGTCGTACCTAATGAATGACTCACGGCGTTGCGCGAGACAAACCTGAGAGAAGCGAAGAGCGCAGTCGTCGCACCACGACGCGTCGTCGATTATCGGATAAGCACGAGCGCGGCTGCGACGTCGTCATAATGTTTAAAAGCCGAGGGGAATGAGAGACGACGCCAAACGGCGGAGTCGACGCCGACAAGTCGAAGCGAGAGACAAAAGCCGCGCGTACGTTTGCCGGTATGAATACCGATCGGCAGTACGATCGTTTGGAAAGTATGACTAATGTTTGACTTGGCGAGGAGAAAGAAGGACAAATATCTTTATACCGAATACTACCGTGTCGGGTGTATGTTTTGTAAATGCTTGAATTATCGACGGGACCTTCTATCGTTGGCCTTCGAATTTACTACGTAGCAATAAATTCACGTAGCGATAAATTGTCGTTCCCGCGGATCTCGTCGGTCGCAGGCTCCCATTAGGATCGGCTTCTACCGGGGTCTTTAATTCCGCAGACAGTCATTTTCACAACTTCTTGAATCAGATGGAATAATCCGTCGGGCGGTTTACGGCCGTTTTTAGCGGCGAAAGGGTTAAGAGGGCTGCCGGCGCGGCTCGCTTAGCAACTCCGGCGCGCTCATTTGCCATTCATTCCCGAAACTGGGTTGCTCGCAATTGTGCCTCCGGTTCTATCTCGCAGCCGTCTGCCCGCCCGGGAAGGATCATCCTAAGATACGAATCCGATATCGGTATCGACCGGCGGGATCGATATACCGGCCGGGCCAGGTATAATCGGCCGAACAGCCGCGATTGCGATCGAAGATTATGCGCATCGACTAACGACCCATATACCACAACGATGATGCAATCTGGATGCACCAGATTCGGTATATAGCGAACAGCAAGACGGTGTATACTTTACCGATGCGAGACATAACGAAGCACGGAATCGTGCAATAGTTTCAATACCTCCGAGATGTCCAGGGAGAAACGTTCTTCCACCGCCAAAAAGATACGCATTTTTCTTTCTCGCGGTAGCTAATGACGGAAGGTAGAAATATGTTGAGGGATTTAGAAGACAACGATTTTTATTAAATAATGGTACATCTCTCCTTGTACCTGAGGCAATTTTTAACGATTCCTATATTCCTATAACGAGATTTTCAACTTTCCGACAGGATTTTTCAAAGCGCGCGTAACGCAATTTTCATTTCCACATGGTTGCGGTTGACGAACTGCGAGGCAGTGAATAATCACGACGACGACGAACGCACGTCGCTCGTGCGATTTGCCCGAGACATATCGCGACAAAATTTCTCGTTAATTCGCGACACGGTCTGCCGACGTAAATTAAATGGCCCGGTAGATCAGGAGTATTTTACATGCTCGTAAATAGAGCACTGGATCACTCGACTATGTTGCTTGGAGAGATGCCTGCTAGCCGGCCTCTTAAATCAACGAGCGAAACGCTCGTACCGAAAACCGCGTCGCGCGCAAATATTGGATCTATTTGGATCTTCATGAGCATTCCGGACTGACGAACAAATGGCTGACATTTATATATAAAAAGAAACGCGTCATAAACGCGTCGGTTTTAATTATTTCGGATCGATAGTGTTTTCCGAGAGATGCTCATTCCGTATATAAAATTAACACGTGACAAATCTCTTCCGTGCATATTCATCGTACCGATATTTCATTGAGAAAAGATTGACGATCGATGATAAAATACACAGAGGATTCCATTAAATGCGAGACGACTTGCAGCAAGCAAATTGTACAAAAAGCATAAAGAAAGGAATAGGGGATGCGCCGTCGAGACGATTGAAAAATATAGCGTAAAAAGAATTTGTCCGAGGATAAGGAGATGCATCTCGCCCGGGAGGGCGTGATATCGCGCTGGATGGGAGGGAAAGAGAGAGAGAGAGAGAGAGAGAGAGAGAGAGAGAGAGAGAGAGAGAGAGAGAGAGAGAGAGAGAGAGAGAGAGAGAGAGAGAGAAAGAGGGAGACTTCAGGATATTCTATTTGCGAATCTCCTCGATACTCCGGACGCGAAAGAATT